TACTGAGATTTCATCTCACCCCGGAGAGAATGGCTATCATCAAGAAATCAACCAATAACAAATGCTGGCAAGGCTGTGCAGAGAAAGGAACACTTCTCCACTGTTGGTGGGAGAGTAGACGGGTGCAACCCCTATGGAAATCAGTCTGGAGATTCCTCAGTAAAGTAGGACTAGAGATCCCATTCAACCCAGCTATTTCCCTTGTGGTATTTTTCCAGAAGAACTACAACATCATACCACAGCAATATATGTGCACCGGCGTTTATAGCTGCTCAATTTGTAATAGCTAAATCATGGAAGCAACCCAAATGCCCATCAACTGAAGAATAGATAAAAAAGATGTGGTATTTTTACATAATGGAATATTACTCAGTTATAAAGAAAGATAAACTTGAGGCTTTCACAGGTAGATGGATGCAACTAGAGTCCATTCTCATAAGTGAAATAAATCAGACCCACATGTGTAAATACCATATTGTCTCGCTAGTGTAGGAACCTGAAAGAATAAATAAAATCTGAAAGGTATAATAGATATTATGAAAGGGAAAGAAACTGTTCAAACGGAGGGAACAACTGGGATGAGGGAAAAGAGAAAAAGAAAGAAGGGAAAATATATGTATACACACACACACACAGTATAACTGAGAGATTCATACTACTGACTTCTATTGCTTTATTGAAAGGAATAGTTATTGTTTAATTCAATCAATATTAAATGCCTATATTTGTTTAACTGAATAAGCAATTTGAAGATAACAATATGTAATACAATATCTATTGTTAATTTTTTATCACCTTGTCTGAAATTCCTATTGCTTCTATTGTTTGGGTGTTGTTTTGTTTATGTCTGTTTGTTTGTTAATGTGTTTTCATTGTTTATCTTTAAAAATAAAAAAATTTTTAAAAATAGCTACAAAATACAGAACAAACGAAGACAACATCAAACCACACAGGAAAGGCATAGCCAATCAGACAAACAAGGGAGAATAAAAGTAGTAAAACACCTCTGGTGTTTACAGTATTATGATAGTGTCCATATTTAATCCCAGAAATGTGCTGGGTATGGAGCTGATCTTGTCCTCTGGACGTCGGGGCTGGGACTGGGATTTTGTTGGTGGAGTTCTCCAGAGTCCAACTGCTGGCTCCTCACTGCTGCTTCAGACAATTCCACATTGCTGATCTCATTGAGTGCTCCCCCTTCCAAAGGTGTGTGTGCTCCCATGTGCCCATCCTGGCTCTTGTCCTGGGTCTCAGGTCTTGGGGTTCCATTCATTCCACCCACCATATGCCTGTGTCCTTACTCTTCTCTTACAGATACTGCCTTCCTGGGGCAATGAAGGAAGCACAGAGCACAGCACAGCCCGAGCTCTTCACCGCAGCTGCACAGAGCTCCTCGAGCTGGAGTGCGGCTGGGACGCGCACCTGCATGTCAGCATCTGCATGGGGTCACTCTTTATTTCTCGCTCTGAATGGCTGCACTGCTGCTGCTGCTCTGGGCCTGGGCATAGGCAGGTCAGGTGGGGAAGGTCAGGGGCTGGGATATCGGAAGGAGAGAGTCCATCCCACAATAGGCCAGAGTGCCAGAGAAGGGAAAGCTGGGTCACAGAGACCTCACCGGATCCCAGAGTGGAGAAGCAACACAAGGTCGTGCCTACGAGGACAGGTGCTAAAGTTCAGGGCGGGGATCCTGGAGCAAGACACACAGAAACAGGCGGGTGCCAGCTCAGGATGGCTTCCAGACCACTCGGCTCCTCCAGAAGCCCCATAGGGGAAACTGAGTCTCAGGGGGTGAGTGGGAGCAAGACCCTGCCCCAGAGGGGAAGGTGCTCCTCATTCCTCCCCAGTGTCCTCACAGAGCACCCCTTCCAAAGCCTCTCGGTCTCAGATTGGGGCCACATGAGGCAACTGTTCTTACTTTTTTGTTTGCTTGCTTGTTTTTCATTGAAAAATAAATACAAATTGCATACATTTGTGGTAAAATGTGTTGTTTTAAATGGAGTTAATTAATATACACCCACATACTTAGTCATCGGTTGGTTGGTTGGTTTTTTTGGTATGGTGAGAATACTTCAAATCTATTCTTCAGTCAGTCTTCAACAATACACAGGCAGTTACCAACTGTCCTCACCATAATGCAGAACAGACCTCCTCCACATTATTCTCCTCTCTGCCTAAAAGTTTGTCTTCTTTTATGAACCTCTCCCCAGTACTCTGCCTCCACTCCTCAGCCCCTGGCAACTTCGCTGCTGCCTGCTGCTTTGACGAGATCGACTTTTTTAGATTCCACGACGAGTGAGATCATGGAACATTTGTTTCTCTAGGCCTGGCTTGTTACATTTAATGTAATGTCCTCTAGGGTCATCCATCCTGGCACAAGCGTCAGAGTCCCCTTCTTTTCAAAACCTGGGCACTATTCCATTATGAGGATGGGAATATTTTATACATATTGAATGATTTAAAAAATACAAGTACTTGTTACAGTAAAAGGCATTGCCATTAATCCCCTTAAAATCCTCCCCTCACCTCCCTTTGCTTAGAACACATTCCCACTGTTTTTGTCACTTTCTGAAGCAGTTCTAGAAGTCCTTCTTTGTGACTGTCATTGTGACTGTCTCCATGCCTTGACTTACTAAAAACATTTATGGCAATTTCTAAAAAAAAAAAATATCACAGCATGTCCTCCTCTATCTTATTGGCTGGACCTGGCAGCATGCTACTTCTGGTTCTTTCCCAAAGTCAAAATGACCATGAAAGGGAAACATTTTGAACTGATACAGGACATCAAAGTAGCTGCCGCAATGCAACTAAAGATGCTCATGAAAGAGGACTTCCAGAACTGCGGCAGAAAGAGGCAAGGATGATGGAATACATGTTTTTGAAAGGAGGGAAAGTATTTTTAGGGGGATTAATGACAATGTGTCTTTTACTGTAATAATATTTGGTAAACGTTTAAATATTTACTGCATTTTGTGATCACTCCTCATATCTACTTTATATGAATCCAGTTATCCACCAGTGGACACTATCCCTTGGCCACTGTGAAAAGTGCTGCAGAGGATGTGGGAGTGTGGGTGTCCCTTCCATACACTGATGTCACATCTGTTGCCTAGATACTAGAAGAAAGACTGAGTTATACAGTAGCTCTTGTTTTAGTTTTGTGAGGAACCTCCGCAGTATAGTTCATAATTGCTGCACTAATTTTCATTCCCACCAACAACATACAAGTGTCCTCTTTTCTCCATACCCTTGCCAAAGCTTGCTTTGTTTCATTCCGTTTTGTTTTGTTTTTGGTGATAGCTGTTCTGACAGGTGTGCGGTGATAGCTTACTGTAGTTTGAATTTGCATTTCCTTGGTGCTTACTACAATTGAGTGTTTTTGTCCATTTACCTGTTAGCCATTTGTAAGCCATCTTTTGAGAAATGTTTACTCCACTCCTTTGCTTATTTTTAATTGGGATGTTTATTTTCTTGATATTGAGTTATTTGAATTCTTTCTCTATTGTGGATACTAACCTCATCATAAATATGGTTGGAGAAGATTTCCTCCCATTCTGTAGGTCATCTTCCCATACTTGGGTCACTTTCTGTATGCAGAAGATTTTCAGTTTGATGGAATCCTTGTTATCTATTTTTGCTTTTATTGCTGGTGATTTTAAGGGTCAAATCCAAAAAAATCATTGCTCAGACCAATGGCATGGATCTTTTCCACTTTTCTCTAGTGGTCTTGGAGTTGCAGATACTACATTTGAGTCTTCAATTCATTTTGAGTTGGTTTCTGTATATGATATGGATGAGGGCCTAATTCCATTTTTCTACATATAGAATTAAGTTATTCCAACATCATTTATTGAGGAAACTGTCCTTTATCCACCCTTATTCTAGGCATTTTTGTCAGAAATCAATTTAACTTAATGAGCAGATTTATCTCCAGGGTAGGACACCCCATTCTGAGCTGTGGGACATACCTCTGTTAGGGGAGCCCCGTTCTCCTCAGGCCAAACCTGGGGGAACTCTGGGCTCTGGACAGTCAAGAGACTGGCTGGTAGGCGGGCCATCAGTGTGATCGGTGGCTCCCCTGGTGAGTGCATGGCAGCTGTTGGAGGGGTTTGAGGGGACCTCTCCCTCTCCTGCACATTCTGATGATCATTCCAAGCCTGGGTCAGCTGGACTGACAAGCCCCCTTTGCCCAGGTCCCTGGAAGGGGAGCCTTGGAGGCTGAGAAGCTGGCTGGGGTGTTTCATAGCAGGAGAATTGTATTTATAGCAGAGGCCGAGAGCTCCTGGGAGCCAGGGAGGTTCTGGTGCCAGGAGTCTACTCTTCATGCTAGTGTGTGTGTGTGTGTGTGTGTGTGTGTGTGTGTAGGGGTGAGGATGGAAAGGGGCAGCAAGGAGTCCAGGTGGAGGTTTTGGCCCTGACTCTACAGAGATGGAGGGGACTTAGCCCAGGGGATGCCTGGAAAGAGGCCAAAGGCGCTATGGGATATCAACGCAAGAGGAGGATCAACCTAACATGGGACAGGGCCTTAAGGGAGGAGCCAAGCAGCTCGCCAGCTCCTGAATTGGCCCTTAAGCACAGCCTAGAGGTGCTGGTGAAGAGGAGACACGGGGTAGGACAGCTGGGGTGGTGACCAGTCTGGAGTGCGTTGGCCCTTCTGTGTAGCAGGGAGGAAGGACAGGGTCTGCCTTTTAGGTTTGCCTCTGCAGACCTAGCCCAGTGCCTTGGGATCAGGCCTCTAGCACCATGCAGATGGTGGCAGTGGCCACACAGCCTGGCCCAGGCCTGGGGGACCGAGTAGAGGGTCTGGCTGGGCAGCGTGGAGGTCACGGCGCCCCGCTACGCGTGGCTGTGCCCTCTGAGTGATGCCCTGCTTACAGGCCCAGCCCCACAGGGGGCGACTCAGCCCTGGATGCTCCCTGCACGCTTCCAGAGCTGCAGCCGGGGAGGCTGGCTTGGCACCCACCAAAAACCACCAGCGAACTGCCAGTGGCAAAACACCACATAAACATTGCTTCTTGCAAAATACTGGAAATAACCATTATGGCATTGCCCAACAGTGGAGCAAGCCCGTGTGCGGGGCCCGACAGCCCGGGGCCTCGGACGGTGTGTCCTGCCAGCCTGGGAGTTCCCGCTCTCCGGGCCAGATTCCTCAATGGCCACTTGGAACAGTGGAGGGGAACAGCGTCCGGGGGACCCAGGGGACCACAACCTCTTTCCCCTCCCAGCAGTAGGAAGTGTTTACAGCCCAAGCCGGCCTGCGCCTGGCAAGCTCCCGGCTCCTGTGGCCAACAGGCTGTTGCTTTTGGGGTGGAAGCTGAATCCACTGGATCAGCGGGCCCAGACTGCAGGACAGACAGCCCTTCTGCCTGGGCCTTCCTAGGCCTTTGGGATGGGCAGCACTGACACGACCTCAGAGGGGCAGAGTGGGACCACGTCTGCATTCCCTCTGTGCAGGGACATCAGCACTCAGAGGTACAGGTTCTTGCTCGGGGCCTTATTGCAGGGGGCTGGGGCCTCTGTCCCGGGCTCCTGCCTCCCAGCAGCTCTTCACCCTGCCTCCTGACTGAAGGATTTGGGGAAGCTGGATTCTACAGCACTTCCACCATCCATCGGAAAGAGCCAAGCACTGGATGGTCATGCCAGGGAAATTAGGAGGCGGGGCTTAGGCATGTGAGAGACACACTTAAGAATTAAATGCCTGTCCCTTCCTTGGACACATAGCAATGCTCTCAGTTAGCCTGCAGTGTGCTGATGTTTGCACACCCATGTTTATAGTTTGGATCTACGCAGTATCTTTAACTTTAGCGATCATGCTATGTAATAGATCTCTCAGCCGTATTGTCTCTGTCCAGCCAAAACTTGGTAACATTTGTCCATACCTTCCCATTCCTCCTCTCCACTCAAACCTTAAGCCCCTGGTAACCGCCATCCTACTCTACTTCCAGGTGTTTGGCATTTTTAGGAAAGGAGACCACCCAGTATTTGTTTTCTGTACCTGGCTTATTTCACTTAATATAGTGTCCTCCATGTTCACCCATGTTCGCAAAGGACAGGATTCTCTCCTTTCACCCCCTGTGTGCCAGTACCACATGTCCTTCCTGCATTTATCTGATGATTGACTCTGAGGTTGACTCCGTGTCTGAAATATTGTAAATAAGGCCACGTGAAATTTCTCTGACTTATGCTTCAGATCCTTTGAACTGATGCCCAAGAGAGGCACAGCTAGGTCATGTGGTAGCTCTGCTTGTAGTTTTTTGAAAGACCGCCCCCAGGGGTTCCCACAATGACTGTGCTCAGTGACATCTCCCCAGCAACGTGCAAGGGTCTCCCATTCTCCACATCCGCATCAATGCTATGATCTTTCTATTGTTTTGTTTTTATAATACCCATTCTAAGTGATGTGAGGTGATATTGTTTTCAATTTGCATTTTCCCGAAGCTTAATGTTGATCATTTTTCATAGACCTCCTGGCCATTCGCGTATGCTCTTTTGAGAATGCCTGTTCAGGTTATTTGCCAATTTTAAAAATTAGATTATTTGTGTTCTTGCTATTGAGTTATGTGGGTTCCTCATATATTTTGGATACTAAATGCTTATCAGATATACGATTTGCAAACATTTCCTTCCAATTTTGAGCATATATTTTTCAGCCTGTTAATTGTTTCTTGTGCTGCATAGAAGATTTTCTGCTTGCTATAATCCTAGTTGTCTATTTTTGCCTGTGTTTTGGAGTTATATTTTTAAAAAAATCATTGCCCAGAAGAATGTCATGGACCCTTTACCCTTTGTTTTCTTCTAGCTTTTCTTTGATGGGAATTTTTAAATTAATGATTCAACTTCTTTCTTGTTATTGAATATTTTCAATTTTTTCATGAGTCATTCCTGTAAGTTAGCTATTTCTCTGAAGCTGTCCGATTCGTTGGCATTCAGTGCACCCAGTAATCTTTTCTAATCCTTTAATTCTGTGGTATGAAGATGTAATATCTCCTCTTTTATTTTTATTTTATTTGAGTCTTTTTGGTTAGTCTAACTGAAGTTTTATTGATTTACCTTTTTTTTTAAGAAAAGCTTAGTTTTGTTGATCTTCTGTATTGATTTCCTAATCCCCATTTCATTTATTTCTGCTCTGATCCTTATTATTTCCTTTCTACTACTAACTTTGGACTTACTTTGTTTTTCCTTCCATAGTTCCTTGAACTGTAATATCAGGTTATTTATTTAAGAACTTTCTATTGCTATGAACTTATTTCTTGGAACTGCTTTTGCTATATCCCATAGTTTTGATAGGTTGTATTTCCA